GAAAATCAGGTACTCTTCTCATAACATTTCCGTTTCTTTTTTTTTTTTTTTTTTTTTTTTTTTTTTTTTAAATATAATAAGTATATAAAAAAAACAAATTGTCGTTAAAAGTTTACATGTATATCGTTTAAATGATTACCCTGTTTAAAACTCCGAGTAGTAAATTCAAATATTTCCTTTTTTTTTTAATTTAAACTTGTAAGAACATTTTCGAGATTTGAGTCGGATTTTAAAATTAAAAATTTTAAATCTACATTTTTTTTTAGTATTTTGTTTAATTTTTAAAAAATGTAGTTCGATAATAATGAGCCTTTCTTCATGTTAACCTACCGATTTAAATTTAATGAACCCATTAAAACTGTTTATGAACATTTTTTGTTTTGAAGTTTAAATGCAGTTTATTATTTTTATTTTAAATTTTTTTTAGTCGGATGATGCCTCGCTCGGCTCACTTGGAGATCCTCACATTTATAACCAAAAAGATACCAAACGGAATGAAAAGGTATGATCAATAGTATATACTTTATATTCAAAATAAATGTAGCGAATATTCAAATCTATAATTTTTTTTTATAGCGGAGTGTTTTTAAAATAAAATTTAAAACAATAATAGGAAATTTTCTAATATTACTTTTATTTATTTTCAACTTTTATAATATATTATTTAAGTATAAATTTGTTGAAAATAAAATTGAGAGTCTAATAATTATTAGATATTTTTTTAAAAAAATTAGAAACTCGGACCAATATAAAATATTAAAATTTAGAGACTAAACTGTGTAATTATATTACACTATTATCATTTAACAACAAATAAATATATGATTCAAATTTAAAAATTGAGTAATTTTTATCCTTCAATTTCCACTTAATTTCCTATTAATTTTTTTTTATAAATTTATTAATTTCAATATAATAAAATTTGCACAAAAACAAGTTTGACCAAAAAAAAATTATAAACTTTAGGAAAAGAAATTAGCTTTATTGTCCCTTTTTTTTTTAATCTAAATTTTTATGTTTTATAATTTATTAAATGTATAAAATTAATAATTTTCTTAAGCTATTTAGAGTGAAATTAAAATATTTTTAAAGTTGGCTAAAATTATGGAATTCAATGAAATTTAAATTTAAATTAAGATTAAATATTTTTTATTTTTTATTTTTTATTTTCCATCAAGAACCATTATACTTACAAACTCATTTGCAGATTCAAAGACGGCTCGCACAAAATCGGGAAGCAGCTCGCAAAAGTCGCCTGCGAAAAAAGGTACGGCCCGAAATTCTTGCTTCAATTTCAAAGTTTTCATTGCAATCACAGAACAGTGTAAACAACTACGAATTCAAATCTCGTTTGTAGGCCTATATTAAGCAATTGGAATCGAGCCGCTTAAAACTCATCCAATTGGAGCAAGAGCTTGAAAAAGCAAGACAACAAGTACGAACAATGTTTGATTCTCCTTCATTTTATTTAGCCCTTAATCGAACTTTTTGATGGAACATTATGTTTGGCTTAATTCCATCGCCTCGAATTTGATGTCGCGCCCTGTCTTTTTCTTCAGGGTCTGTTGGCTGGATCCCGATTTGATAATAACCCGTCGGGTTTATCAGGAACCACAAATTCAGGTTGGTTTTCTTGTGGCCAATCGTTGTTTGTTCTTACGCTTCTTTTTGATCTTTGATGCTCTTGTGTCTTGTCAATATTATAGATCCTTTGTTGTTTGGTGTTTAGTGGCTTGGTAACTGAAAGATGGGAATTGAAAGCTACAAGATCTGAAATTAATTTGAGAGCTTAAAGTTAAGGGAAGTGATCAGTGGCTTAAATTCTTGCAGATCAAGTGTTTGTGGTATTGTCTACGATGAATATAAAAGTCCAAACTCTTAGCCGAACATGTGGGTCATCGTAAACTGTAAAGCGTGTGTGTATAAACGTTTTTGAGTCCTAGACGTAAAGATTGACTGATTGATGTGTGGGAAAGGAAAGTTCTTCCATTGGAGGTGGTTCCATGTTTCATCACTACTCTACCAAAAGTTCACTCCTCTTTTTGCTTTTCACTTTTTATCAAGATTGACTAGTCTTGTAAGATCTCACGTCCAGTGAGAGGAGATGGGAGGAGAACGAAACATCCTTGACAAGGGTGTGGAAACCTCTCTCTCCCTAGCATACGCGTTTTTTAAAGCCCAAAGAGGACAATATCTGTTAGTTGTGAGCTTGAGCTTGGGCTATTACAGGTCTTCCTTACCACTTCTAATAATTTCCCTCGGGGTTGATATGTTGTATTCGACATCGCATCTTGTTTGATATGAAAAAGAGTTGATGCCTAAAATGTTAGTTATGTAGGATGCCTTGATATTCAGAGTTTGGAATTTTCACATGCAATCTACCTTGAGCTTTAGCATTCTTATCTTCTCAATATATCATCACTATTTGTTTTGTAGGCATCTCTGCATTTGAATCAGAGTATGAGCAATGGGTAGAAGAGCAGAACAGGCAGATATGTGATCTGAGGACTGCAGTGCATGCTGATATTACTGATATCGAGCTTCGAATACTCGTAGAAAATGCAATGAGACATTACTTTAAATTCTTTCGCATGAAAGCTAAAGCTGCAAAAGCAGACGTCTCCTATATCATGTCAGGCATGTGGAAAACATCAGCTGAAAGACTTTTCTTATGGATAGGAGGATTTCGCCCTTCAGAACTTCTCAAGGTATGTTCTTATGAATCATAATGAGATATTGACAGGAAAGGAGCTTATCTTCTTATCAAACTAGACTTTGACACTAAAAAAATGGCTCCCTAGAGAGTGCACATGATCGTATAGTTTCATGGACTACCTCGTAGAAGAACGAAGATTATAGCTTTAGATTAGAAGCATGAATTTCAATTGTCGTCTCAAAAATCCCACTTCTACATTTTCACATTATTTACATCGTAGAGAAAATCACTTGATTTCGATGAATATATTGGGTTCACAATTCTCGATCACCCACCGATCCTACAATATTTGATGTTAGAAAGTTGGAAAGCTTTTTGATATTCAATAATGAGAGCACTAAGTAGATATATATATGAACTAACAACCTCTTAGTTTAATATTGTTCACAAAGTTATGTCATATACAGGTTTTGATACCTCAGCTGAAGATACTGACCGATCAACAAGTTTCCGAAACTAGTAGCCTTACGAAATCGTGTTTACAAGCAGAAGATGCTCTAAGACAGGGTATGGAAAAACTACAACAAAATCTATTTGAGAGCGTAGTGGCTGGTCAGCTGAGTGAAGGAAGTTATCCCCTACAGATGACTGCTGCAATGGAAAGATTAGAAGCACTCATTAGCTTTGTGAATCAGGTAACATATTTCTTGAGCTCATGTGTTCATAAGATGTGTGTTCTTTTATTATCATTCTCTTTGGTCACCTTAACCTCCCATGCCCCATGTCCGAAGTCGAGGCCATGTGTGTTAGAGAGCGTCCATCATCTTAGTCACTCATCCTCTATGCATTTAGAACTTATTCACGAAGTCAATCGACAAATCTGACTCTAGATTATCATTTTGTATAGTTGTTGGAACTTATTCACGAAGTCAATCGACAAATCTGACTCTAGATTATCATTTTGTATAGTTGTTGATTTGAAAGACATTATGACATTAAGATTTCCAAGGTTTAGCTCAGACATAACTCAGAACTCCACTTCTCGTTATAATTGGTAGATCTAAGGTTATGTTTGTCTTGTTGAATATTTCATCGAACGTTACCTACTTTTTTCTACTCTCTCTTTTCTAATGCCCAAATAGGCTGACCATCTACGACAGGAAACATTGCAACAGATGTACAAAATTCTAACAACTCGGCAATCTGCTCAAGGCCTTCTTATTCTTGGGGAGTTTTTTCAACGACTCCGAGCATTGAGCTTGCTTTGGGCTAATCGTCCTTGCGAGCCTACATAGTTCACCATCAACATTTGTCAAGTTCAAAGTTGGTTCATGATCATCCTAAGGATCTACAAGCTTGTTGGTAGTGTATTGGTAAAACATTTATAATGAGGAATGCAAAGTCATAGCATACCATTTTGCAAGCTTCCTACTCATACCACACCCGTCTGTAAATATTGATATGAGAATCTTATCGCGAGAGAAAAATTGTAAGTATGATTGATTTTTGACATCTGTTGTATTGCCAAGTTGTCTCAAATATAATCTATATTTAGTGTAGTTTTGTGATGACATGGAAATTTTTGTGGTGAACTGATTACTAGAATGACATTCATGAATGTATGTGCATGTAGTAGTAGTTAGTTTCTGTTATTCAAATTGGAACCTCATCCTTCCCTCCAAATATGAAGTTTTTAGATCTTGAATTTCTTAAATCTGAAGATTTCAGGTCTGGAACTTCACTAGATCTTGAATTTCTTAAATCTGAAGATTTCAGGTCTGGAACTTCACTAGATCTTGAATTTCTTAAATCTGAAGATTTCACTAGATCTCATTGCTTTGCTTTAGACTTCCCCAAAATGCCTCATACCAATGGAGAGAGTATTCCTCAGATTATAAACTCATGATCATTCTCTAAATTAGGCGATGTGGGACTTTCATCATCTAACACCTCCCCTCGAACAAAGTGCGCCTCTCCTTAATCGAGACTCGACTCCCTTGGCGTCTTAGTCATTTTTTACTGCTTTCGAGGAGTCTGACTCCTTTTCTTTTGGAGTTCTTTGTTCGATATTTGAGGATTTACCAATCTATTGGCACGACTAAATTGCTCTGATACCATGTTAGACGAACACGACTCTCCACAATTGTATGATATTGTCCACTTTGAGCATAAACTCTCATGGTTCTGCTTTGGGCTTCCCCAAAAGGCTTCCTACCAATGGAGAGAGTATTCATTAGATTATAAACTCATGATCATTCCCTAAATCAGGCGACGTGAGACTTTCATCATCCAACAGTGATCTAAGCTAAGGTCGACGACAAAGTAGAATTATAAACTTCTGTATATAAATACTTATATTCACTCGTAGAAACAATGTTCAATCAGTTTTTGAAAGAAAAAAGAAGGTTTCTGAAACTAAGTCCTGGTTTAAAACTTGTAATATAGTAAACAACACATGGTAGCTCCTACAAACAAGAATTACATTTTATTTTAAGTAACATACAAGAACACTGATGGGTTGTCGTTGTTGTTGTTTACCAGATTGAAGCTTTTACAGCTTTGAAATGGCATAGTCCAAAGCATCAACAAGAAAATCTGCAGATGAGGCGGGGAAAGGAGTATGAGAAACTCAAAGAAAATCTTCATTTTCAGAGCCAAACAGACAGTTCATGAAATGTAGATTCATTAAAAGATATATAAGATACCTGAATCATCTTTTGTGAAACACATTGGGGGCTTTATTCGAAATACATTGCCATGCAGACCTCCTTTCCCCACGAGAACGCCCAGTTCTTCAATCGGAACCAAACGAGTCGTTAGAACAGCAGCCATAAGTTACTTTCAGTTTGGCTTATTTGGTTTGGAGATCAGAGAATAGAAGTACCTCTTAGTTTCTCGAACAATACTGCGGTTTCGGTCTTTGCCGGGGTTTTGTCCTTCTGATCCGTTACGAATTCTACACCTATCATTAATCCTCTTCCTCGTACATCTCCTATGACTGGGAAAGGAACAAAATTCATTACTCAAATGAGATATGATTTCTTTTGCGAGGGTTCTAATGTTGTAATGGTTCAAGCCCACCACCAACCGATATTTGTCCTTGGGTTTTCCCTCACAGTTTTTTCTCTCACGATTTTTGTTCTTCTCCGTAATTGATGTGGGATCTCATTCACAATTCACCCCTTTTCGGGGCCCAGCGCCGTCACTGGCACTCGTTCCTTCTCCAATCGATGTGGGACCCCTCAATCCACCCCCTTTGGGGCCAGTGTCCTTGCTGGCACACTGCCTCGTGTCCACCCCCCTTCGAGGTTCAGCCTCTTCGCTGGCACATTGGCTGATGTCTGACTATGATACCATTTGTAACATTACAGGCCCACTGTTAGTAGATATTGTCCTTTTTGGGCTTTCTCTTTCGGACTTCCGCTCAAGGTTTTTAAAACGCATATGACCCACTGTTAGTAGATATTATCCGTTTTGGGCTTTCTCTTTCGGACTTCCGCTCGGGTTTTTAAAACGCATATGACCCACTTAGTAGATATTGTCCTCTTTGGGCTTTCTCTTTCAGACTTCCGCTCAAGGTTTTTAAAACGCATATGGCCCACTGTTAGTAGATATTATCCTCTTTGGGCTTTCTCTTTCAGACTTCCGCTCAAGATTTTTAAAACGCATATGGCCCCACTGTTAGTAGATATTGTCCTCTTTGGGCTTTCTCTTTCAGACTTCCGCTCAAAGTTTTTAAAACTTATCTGCCAGGGAGAGGTTTTCACTCTTATAAAGAATGTTTTGTTCTCTCCAACCGGGATATATTGTTCGTGAAGAAGTATTAGAGGGAGGTGGACTACTTAGAAATTAAAGTCATAGTCTAAGAGAAATTACTTTCATATTTTTCCTGGAGACCTCTCAATCCCTCTAGTAAATGCGCACCAACATCTGCACAATGTGCTTGACGTCTCTCCTTGTCAACAACTCTTAGAACTGCAAGTCCCCCCGCAGAACAAACTGGGTTCCCTCCAAAAGTGTTGAACTGAAGTTTTTGAGCCATCGTGCTTGCTATTTCAGGCGTTGTCACCACTGCTCCCAATGGCAAACCATTTCCAATACCCTGAAAAGTTCAATACTTAGGAACGCTGGGAATAACTTCTAATGAACGACACGAACGATGAGCTGCCGTGCTGCGGTGGTTCTCCAACAGGACTATTACCTTTGCCATGGTTACTATATCAGGAACCACACCCTGCGTCTCAAAGCCCCAGTAATGGCTTCCTGTACGACCGAAGCCAGTTTGAACCTCATCAGCAATGCAAACACCACCACCCTTGCGAACAATGTCGTAAACGGGTTTCAAGTATCCAGGTGCTAATTCAACAGCTCCTCCAACACCCTGTGATAATGGAAAACCAAATGTACCTTCAAGTTTATGTAGAATGTGGTTATCATGTTCAATTTCAGACATCAGAAAAAGAAACCTGAATTGTTTCAGCTATAAATCCAGCAACTCTTCCTGAAGTACCGTAATCTATATGATCTTGGACATCTTTGACATAACTACTAGCATCTGACCCAAAGATACCACGATATGGATCGGGATTCACAACATGATGAATTTCACCCTGCAAGGTACCACAAGAATTTTGCAGATGAATCAAAATACTTAGATTGAACTGCCATGCAAACTACAGCAAATGCAGCTGTCGACTAAAACAAGCAATAGATTACGTGTGTTTGCACCGAGTAAATTGCACATGATCAGACTAGTAGAAAACCAGAAGGCAATGGAAGTTCTATCACTAGCATACAGGCAACCAAATGAACCAATATCACTGCAGATTAAGCTCTGAATAGAAAAACCTGAGGTATTGGGTACTTCCATGTATTCAAAGACGTCAGTCCAATTGTGTTAGAACTTCCTCCGTGGTATGCATTTCTCAATGCAATCATACCTAGATTACCACTGTATAGACGGGCCATAAGCATGGCTAATTCATTTGCTTCTGTCCCGGAATTTACAAAATATACAACCTGCATAATCAAGTAAGCAGAAGTTTCAGTCAGTACAGGAGAATGATGTTCTATACAAGGGTAATAGGAAGATCAATGTGAGATCCCAAGGAGGAGAATGAAGTATTTTTTACTGTGGAAATCTCTCCCTAGCAGATGCTTTTTAAAAGTCCGAAAGGGAAAGTCTAAAGAAGACAATATCGGCTAGCAGTGGGCTTGGACCGTTATAAATGGTATCAGAGCCAGACACCAGCAGGCTAAGCCTTAAAGGGGTGGACACTAGGTGGTGTGCCAGTAACGATGTTGGGCCACAAAGGGGGCAGATTGGGGGGCCCACATCAATGGGAGAAGAGAACGAGTGTCAGCGAGGACGCTGGGCCTCGACGGGGGTGGATTGTGAGATCCCACGTCGGCTAGCGAGGAGAACGAAACATTTTTTATAAGGATGTGGAAACTTTTACCTAGAAGACGTGTTTTAAAAACCTCTAGAGAAAGCTCGAAAGAGAGTACAAATAGGACAATATCTCCTAGCGGTGCGCTTGGACCCGTTACAATCAAGTAGTGAAGAGATAACAACTCAACCATCATAGTTGAGAAGATCCACCAGTTCTAGTAATTCAACATCTCTTATCCCATCTCTAATGAAGGTCCGAACACAAGTTCAACAATTTCCACAGAGCCTGACATATCCTGGATGCTTTGCTTCAATATCAATCATCCATTACAGCGAAAATTGAATAGATACTATTTAATGATTCTGAAAGGAGAAAAACACCTTCAAGTTTCCAGGCATTTTCTCAGCCAATGCTTCAGCAAAATCAGCTATTGCATGGTGTAGGTATATGGTTGTGGCATGCTGTAAAAGCTTGTTTTGCTCATTGACTGCAGCCAAGACATCAGGATGGCAATGCCCACAAGAAACAGTAACAATACCAGCAAAAGCATCAAGGTACCGCCGCCCATTCTCATCAAACAAGTATTGCATTTTCCCTTCTACAATGTTGAGCTATTCAATTAAGAGAGCAAGACCAAAAGAATCAGTTTCTGAAGAATGTGCGGATTGAAGGATATCCATCAAATACACAAAGTTCAATTTAATGATAAATGTTCAAGAAAACCAAAAAACCAAGCGTATCGCATAATATGGCAAATCAATCAACAAATCTGCATGAGTTCATCATCATCACGTAGCAAGGAAGCAAGAAAAGCGGCCAGATCAAGTAAAATCCTGCTCAAATGCAGAGATCTAGTGCTTCTTCCAGAAATCACAATCGGTTCACTTAAATGAACCACCAGAACTCCACATCAATCTTAATCACGATACGACAGCAGAATCAACAATGCAGAAAACTCAATCAAATAAGGAATAGTAGTTGAAATCAGAGAGACTACCGGCTTCTTGTAGTAGTGAAAAAGCGAAGGGCCGAGAAACTTCTTCCGCTTCTGAAAAACTTCATCGGCAAGAGGTCCTTTGTAAGGCTTCGGCGTGTAATCAAACGGCGGAAGAACAGGTTTGAGATCAGTTGCAGCGGAAGAAGAAGGAATCGAAGAGAAAAAACTACAAAAGGCTTGCCTGGAACGGCCAATGAACCGCTTCAAGTTCGCCTCTCGTAGAGCCTTCTTCAAAATTTGCTTCTGAAACGCCATGGCCGATCAATCGAAGCTTCAAAGCTTTCGGTTTCGTGCCGGTAATGGCGGCTCTGTCAGCTGTGTTTATAATAAATAAAGAAATTATGCAACTACGGCAAATTTGAGAATTTATAAAGAACCCAGACAACTTGGGAAAGTCCAATAGTCTGCTGACGTGGCATTTTATTTATATGCATGTTGATGACTCGTTGCTGATCCTATTACCACGTAGGATCAAGTGATTAACAACGGTCCAAAAATTTAAAAATAATCATTTATTTTTCTTAATTTAGTTTAAATTAGAAGAATATTTAATACATTTTTAAACTTTAATAAATCTAAATTATTCAAACACATTAAATGCTCGTGTTAAATAAGATTTAATATAACTTTTTATACCTAATATTAAAAGTTTTAAATTAAATTTATAAAATCACTAATTTTGATTTAGGGTCGGTTTACTTAGGTGTAAATTTTAAGACTCCAATCTCGTAATCTAATCCATCTCGAGATAGGTATGAATTTATTCTCAATATTTTATTATAATGGGACCTACGCCCTATTTCGGGTGAACTTTACACTATTTGTCCTTTTTTTAATCTATTTTGACCTTGTAGTACTGATCTATTGATATTCTTCTTCATCATTCCCTATCTAGGTTTTAATTTCAACTCTAGTGTGATAGACTCTATGAGATAATTAAATAAAACTAACGGCGGAAGACTTACCTTAGTCATTTTAAATAATAAAATTTCATTTGAGTTCCCTATAATATGGAAATTGTGTTTTTTTAGGGCTATTTTGTCTACGAGATAATTAACGTGTTTAAAAATTAAAATTAACAGCGGAAAAATTTACATGAGTCATTTTAAAACACAATTTCATTTGAGTTCCCTATAATATGGAAATAGTGTTTTTTTTAGGGGCTCTTCAAAACATTAATTTCAAGTATTAATTATTTCTTCCTCTTTTTTATATATAGAAACGTCCTTATTAGATTTATAAAATTGAAAATTAAAATCCACAAATGAAAAAAGAAAAAAAAAGAATCGAAAAAGGAACAGAAAATAAAAAATATTCGAAAAGGGAAAATTAAAAACAAATCAATAAGGGAAAAAAGTTGGAAATTTTGAAAAAAAAAAGAATCGAAAAGGAGGAAGAAAGAAGAAAATAAAAAGATTCGAAAAGGGAAAATTTAAAAAAAAAATCGAAAAAGAAAAGGAAAGAAAAAATCGAAAAGGGAAAATAAAAAAAAATCAAAAAGGAAAAAATCGGAAAGGGAAAATTAAAAAAAAAATCAAAAAGGAAAAAAATTGAACCTGACGTGAATCGAACACGCAACCTTCTGATCTGAAGTCAGACGCGCTACCATTGCGCCACAGATCCATCTGTTGAACGAAATTGAAAATAATAAATAAATAATATAAAAAGTTATAAAATAATATAACCACCGAGAATATAAAGTATTATTAAAAAAATTCCGACCAAGTGGACTTCTTTTTTATTAAATTTTTTCTAATTTTTTATACCCTTAATTATTTTTAGTTTATTTATGTAAACAAATTAACAATGGGGGGTAAAATTTATCAAGATGAACATGATTCAATTCATATCACAACCAACCGACAAATTAACATTTTTCTTATAGAAATTTTAGTAGGAGTGAACAAACCAAGTCAACTAATGGAAACAATCCACCGAAACAACTTTGATCAGTCCACCGAAAATACCTAAAACTTTCTATAATGAATCAACCTACGCCCGTTAAAATTCCATTCAGATTATTAGAATCCTATTTTATTCTTCATCGACAACGAGAGACCAAATTGAAAAAACACCCGACATATAACGAGCAGCCATAAAATATTCAATATGTTGGATATAATACTGTCTTTTCACTTGAAATATATTGACATTCTTCTGTATGTTGTATTGAGGTTGGTACATGAGAATTGATTTGGTGCACTCTCCCCTAAGCTTGAAGATCTTGGCAAGATGAACTATGGTTGCAAAAGAGAATCAATAATCAAATCACAACTAAAATTCTCAAGCCCAATGTGGAAGTCCAAATCTGATAGCTATGAAGTTATGAGGGCCAAGGCTCCATTTTAAAGCTAAGATGAGACTGTTCAAGTTTCAAAGCAACAAACAAGGAACTAATAGCCAGACAGTTCAAGAATGTAATTGAGGCTATCCTAACTTAAACAAGAACAAGTCATGAACATAAACCAGGACATACCCATCAAATGTGTGAGATTTGTTCAAATAATTATCAACGAGTTCAATAATATTCCCAATACAAAGCACACTATCCAAGCTAAAGTGTATACATCTAGGAAGAATTTGATTTTTCCATTGTCAGATAAACTTACCAAAATCTTAAGAAGTGCTCTGTCACAGAGAACAAGCCTCTTGCAAGAAACCCAAGTTCATACTGGCAGCAAACAACCATATGACTTGGTTCAAATCTGGTGCAACTAGATGTGCAAACACTTGGTCGTGATGAGCAACTAGATGTTGGATCAAATAAGCTCTAGTTCTGGCCATGTCTTCGTGTTTCCAACTCCTTAGGCTGCAATTCATCCATGCATTGACCTCTAAAGGCTGCCAACAATTCTGTCACATGATCAGGAAACCTATGCACGAATTTATCCAAGAAATCCTCATCAGACATCCCCAATATATCAAGCAATTGCGGGTGTTTCTCCAATAGCCTCTTCGACTTTACGACCTGAAGAACTCTATACCGAGGGAGCACCCTCCCCTGCATGGCGTGCATCAAACAAGTAGGTTTACAAACAATATCTGATCTGCTGACTTCTGCCTCATTCATAAAGAATTCTAGACCACGTTTAAGTTTACCAACGGAGGTTCTTATCAAACCAGGAGCAGAAGTAAACATTCTCATACATTCCTTCTCAGTTATTCCAAAGCTGCAAATCAATTCCACTTTCTTCTTGAAGGTCGCATTACTTACACTACTGATAGAATGAAGTCCATGAACAAACATTTTAGTATTTGTAGAAAAACCAGTCTCTACAACCATAGAAACAATATCTCTAACTTGAGATTCACGCATACCAAAAAGTGCAGGTTGCCTCTTCAGTAACATAGAGAGTTGAGAACCAACAATCCCACAACTTTGTAAGTAACTAATATTGACAAGCAACCTTGTATACGGAGATCGCATAAGCATATCAGAACATCGCTGCATAACTTGCAGGAGATCGCTATTACACTCATCCTTGGGGAAAACACTCTTAAGAATCTCAACACTAGGCATCAATCTCTTCTCCAAACTAACAGTCAAAAGCGTAGAATGCTTGGAAATGAACCTACCCAAATCGGAGCCGACCAAGCCAAGATTCTGGAAGAACTCGATCTTCGGCTTCAGAGTCCTTTCGATGTTGGAAAACGCGATCTGCGGCGCAAGGCGAATCGTCGATTGAATGTGAGCTTTGGAGAATCCGAGCTCTGAAAGATATTTGTAAACGGATTGAGGCTTTTCCGTTGATTCAAGGCCTCTGCGGCTCCTCATAATCGACACCGCTCTGGCGGGGGAGAGTTCGAAGGTATCAATAAGGTATTGAACAACGATTCCATATGAAGCAGAGGCTTGGCTGTGGGAAGAAGAAGAGAAGAAACAGTACAAGAGCGGATCAATTCGGAGCAAGGAGGAAGGATTATGGCGAGAGGAAATAGAGAACGATGATCTCAGCGCGTACATTTAAGAACACAGAGGCAAACAAAATGAAATTAGGGTTTCAGACGGCGGCGTCTCTGAGCAATTGAAGATGCCTCCGTTCTCTCTGAACTTCTTACGGCCCGCTGCCACCTCCAACTTCAATTTAGATTTTGAATTTTCGATTTTTTTTCATAATTTTTTAGAAATTAAAATTTTTTTAGTCATAAATTCAATTTTATATTTAGTTAATTAATTATTTCTTTTATAATAACTTATTAATTACAAAATTAGAAATTTATAAATTTATAAATTTATTGGACTTTTTTTTTCTAATTTTAAATAAAAATATATTGTTATATTTATTGTTTTTCTTTCTTCTTCCATTCATGGTTCTCACCGTCTATTGCTGCTACCGATCGTCGTCGCCACTTTTTTAACTCTCTTTTCTTCTAAAATCCTTGCAACCACTACGGTGAATTGCCTGCAAATCAAGCTCGAGGCAAATAAGAAATAAAAGAATAGCAAACTAATATCAACAACTCGATCGGTTGGAGAGAGGAACGAAACATTCTTTGTAAAAGTGTGGAAACCTATCCCCAACTGACACGTTTTAAAAATTTTGAGGGGAAGCCCGAAAGAGAAAGCCCAAAGAGAACACTGTGTACTAGTGGTGGGCTTGGATTGTTAGAAACTCATCCAAGTGCTAGACTATGATTCAAATAAGGTTAGCCAAACTAGGACTGCATAACTCAAAACAACAAACATCTTCTGTCCCATCAATCATCCATTCAGATGTTTGAAAAGATGCAAATTCAATTTCATGGTAGACTACCTCGACTCTCTTCAATTCCTCCCAACGCTCAGTCAAGCCGTCTCCTTCGAGCATCGTCACGACATCCAACATTTTTGGTCGGTCCATGGGAGAGCTTTGTGGGCAGAGAAGTGCTACTCAAATCGTTTGTTCAACTTCAACTTCATCGTAACAAAAAACATCGGTCTTTTCAGATGACTTACCAATTGAGAGATACACATAATGAATAACTCAAAGTAACCCAATTTAAATATTTTATACCATTACCTATTGAAATCGTGGACTCTTGATACTTTGCACATCTCGGTTTTGATCACTCATTCCTACCTACCTTGAAACACAACAATCATGCTTCTAAGCTTAATTGGTGTAAGCGTGCAATTAGCTGGAACTTGCCAAACCAGCTAAATTATCTACGTGAGGTTAGTTGACTTCATTACTGTTAGAAATAGCTTATAACCCTCTAGAATCTCATCAGAGTAGCATCGTAGTACAGGAGAACGACTCAATTTGTCTGCCAACAAAGATACATATGTGGACAAGCCATAAATGACTTTTAACCATATTTGAAGGTGATTGGCCGCCCTCTAGAGTCT